GAGTGATGCATCGGCCTGGTCATGGAGGTAGCTCGCACCTCCTTGGTCCACGCCGGTGCACCCCATTTTCCGTGGCCATTTGCTCTACGCTACGCAGCTCACCAGCATAAACCTGTGGCCATGCTCTCTGCGACCCCAGATTACACCGACCCTTCACTGGACCAGGTCTCCTGGGGTCGCTGCTGCGTTCCACGTCTGGGGCAGCCTTGGCGTGGACGAGCTCTCAGCCCGCACTCTTCCGTGTGTCTTCCTCGGGTTTCCGCTTGATGCCCCTGACATACTATTTTACAACCCGGCACACCACCGCTTCTACCGCACTTGTAATGTTATGTTCGACGAGAGGCTCCACTACTACCGTCACTTTCCTCACCACAACTTTCATGTCCCTCCCCTGTTATAATCACAATAGGCTTAGATGTGCCTATAATGAGAGATAGAGAGCACAGTCGGATTTCCGTCAGACGGCTTCAAATACTAATAACGATCTCGTCACTAAATCAAACGGTGATCTGTAAATTGGATCTGGAGCGCGTTGCTGTCGTCTATCAGCAGCAAGTTGAATCAAGAAATTTCATGAAGATTTGACGACGCTATGGCGGTTTGACTGGCAGGAGGTATAGCAACCACTATAGTCTTAGGAGTACAAACTTAGCAAGAAGAGTTCGAGAGGGAGATGGTTCCCAGCCTCTACATACCCCAAGAGCCGAGGTCCAGGTTGGTGGTACACCACCACAGAGTCCCCAACCATGAAGAGTCTCGAAACCAACCCTCCAAGGGGCTACACCAAGTGAAATGTAACACTACACGAAGTAACTTTACTATTTTCACTATTTAATATTTATCCGCGTCCCTTGGGCTTGAAATCTTGAGCTCTTGTTCCTGGATCTGCAAGATAAATTCTTCTTGAGTTGATGGGGGCTTGCTGCACACACCTGTGACACGATGGACACTTCACACTCGACAAAATAGAAAAAACACATGCGACACACAAACGACGACTTGACATGCGAGTTGTAAAAACTCGCTAATGTCTTGACCGACACAAACCACATTGTGATACACCATTCAAACACACACACAAGCACTGGATAGCAATGACATAGACTCACAATTCATTCCATGCCATGCATGCACACACACAAACAAGGACGACAAGCCGAGTGCAAGCCATAGGGTTGCACCAACACCTCCTCTCTTCCTCACCCCTGCCCCCCCTTTGCTGCGCCCCTCCCACCCCGCTCGGCCCCGTCTAGTGTGTCTCTCACGCCATTCCGTTCCCCTCGGTCGAGCCTGTGGGGGAGTCTGCTGACACTAGGGGCCCAGAAGCTGGGGGTGCGCCTACTGTTCCTGTGGTGCCTCCCCCAGCCTCAGTACCCCAGGCACCTCAGCAACCCCCCCCCCTTGCCTCAGCAGTAGCCGCAGCCACCGCAACAGACTCAGCTGCCGCAGCAGCAAGGGGCAGTAGGCTCTAGGGGTGCTGGTTTTGGGGGTGCTGGCTCTCGATGCTGGTTCTGGGGGTTCTGAGTCTGGGGGTGCTGGTTCTGTGGGTGATACGACCACGGGTGGACTGCTTCCAGACCTTCTCCCCTACCCTGACGATGACTATTCTTCGGGTGCTCCTTCACCTAGACGCACAGCATGACTACGAGCTTCACTCACTCCATTTCTCCATAGCCTTCGTGCAGGGTAGTCTGTACGAGCAGATCTACCTCCGGCGCCCACTAAGCTTCTCTGGGTCCTTCCCACCAGGGACCCAGTGGAGTCTGCGTCGCAATATATATGGCCTGTGTTAGGCACCCCGTGAGTGGCACGACAAGCTTTGCACCACACTTGCTTCTCTGCAGGTCTTTACGTCCTCTGCAGTCCCCTTGTTCTTTGTTCGCACTGGCCAGACCTCGTTCTACATCCTAGTGTACGTAGACAATCTTATCTTTGCTACTCTTGATAGAGACGTACTAGCCTCAGTAAAGGCCGAGTTATGTAAGACGCACACCTGCACCGACATGGGGGAGCTAAAACGCTATTTGGGCTTGGAGATCTGTCGTGACCGTGTCACTTGCACGATCACACTCTCCCAATCCCATATGGTGCAGCAGATTCTTCATAGGTCCAGTCTCGAGTTCTCCTCAGCACAGCCCACCCCTCTGCCTGTGGATCACAAGCTCTCTACTCCTGTTTCGGCTGAGCCGGCCGAGCCTATTGGCCCATATGCTGAGCTGGTAAGGTGCCTCATGTACCTGATGACCTCCACTCGACCAGATCTAGCATACCCTCTCGGTATCCTTGCTCGCTTTGTTGCGACAGGGAGGCACCGACCAGTCCACCTGCCGGCTGCCACGAGGATACTGCGGTATTTGGCGAGTACATCAGGACTGGGGCTTGTGCTAGGAGGACAAGAGCTTGCGAAGCTATCTGCACACACAGACGCATCGTGGGCTGACGACGTGGAGACGCTCAGGTCCTCACAGGGATGCTGTTTTAGACTTGGTTGTGAAGCGACCTCGTGGAGGTCCACAAGGTCGTCGTCTGTAGCTCAGTCCAGTTGTGTGGTAGAGATCTACGCTGGAACCATGGCCGCTCAGGAGTTCCGCTGGCAGACGTTCTTGCTCACTGACTTACACTGGCGGAAAGTATTGTCCACATGTTTGTGACTTCGAGGATTTTTGTCATTTTAGGGGGTCATGGACATTAAGCCTTAATCTTCTGGTGTGCCTAGTGTATGTAGGTTGGGGTAAGGCTCTACGCCCATGCCTTACATCTCACAAGTATAATGATGTTTACAACAAATAACAGAAAATAACAGTCTTGGTACATGTGAACAATTATTGCCAGGCGCAAGCAGCAAGTTACATCAACCACAAACTAGTACCTAGTCCACCGCCCTTTCGCCTTAATCACCGCCCTCACCCTCCTGGGCATGCTTTCCACCAAGTGGGTGCACACATCCACCAGGATCTTCTCCCATTCCTCCTGCACACGCTCCCAAAGGTCCGGCATACCAGTGGGAGGCTTCTCGTGCTTGGCCAGCTGCCTCTTGAGATGAGCCCATAAATGCTCTATTGGGTTGAGGCTGGGTGAGGAAGATGGCCACTCTAGCACCCCAAAATCTTGCTCTCTAAGCCACTCCTGCACGATACGCGACTTGTGCTTCGGGTCGTTGTCGTGCGGGAAGATGGTTTCGGAGGGTGAAAGCTGGTAAAACTCAATCGTCCTTTTGAGCTCGTCCTGCAGTATACTCAGATAGAGCTGCCCGTCCATCCTACCATCTATTTTGCTCATGAAGCCCGCACCATCATACGACATGCACCTCCAAATCATCAAGCAACCGCCCCCGTGTTTGACGGTCTGCTTGATTTGGTGGCTTTGGAGGGCAGCACCTTCGCGAACCCAGGCATAGGAGCGTCCATCGGATGCAAACCGATTGATCTTGGTCTCATCCGACCAGATCACCCGCTTCCAATCGTCAACCGTCCAGTCGGCGTGGGCACGGGCCCATTCTAGCCTATCGCGTATGTTTTTCCGAGAGAGTCGCGGCTTCTTGGGCTGCTGGATTGCGACTAGTCCGCTGCCGTTCAACGCATTACGGACCGTCCTAAGGATGCAGCGTGATGCCATGCTGCATCTCGACTATCTTCGCCGCGTGAGCAGAGGTTTTGGCCTCCTCGCTAGTAATCGCCCGAACTATGCCACGGCGAATTCTCTCTGTCACTAAGCAAGGGGCGACCGGCTGAGGGCATCGTGGGACGCACGGCATTACGGCTAGACTCCTCAACCGCCTTAAGTCCATAATCGTGGACCGTGCTCTTGCCCACGCCTAGCTTTTTAGCGATTCGACGCGTGCTATACCCCCTCCGCAACAGGGTAATGATCCGTGCGCGGCACACCTCATCTATCAGTTTCATGATGGCCTAATCGTCGCAGCAGTCCTAGCCTATCTCTTGACTACTCGATAGTCGCGAGAGCAAGTAAGTAGAAATAGCGAGGTTAGGAAATAGATCTACTTCGCTGCTTGGCTTGAACTGTCCGGATGCACCCACGCGAACGAAATCTCGTCCTCGGTAAAAAATCGACCCCTATAAAACTGAAACCAGCATCTGCCACATACATTACAGTACCACTTTATAGCCAACCCCGAAATTTGATTCGTAACTAAACGAAAAGGCACCAAACCGGTACGAGAAATGTTTGAAGGCAATTATCCGGGCAATACTTTCCGCCACTGTAGGTGAGCCGCCAAACTTTGCCCCGGTCCCATTTGCTGACAACAGGGCCATGATCCTCCTGTGTTAGGAGGCTCGGCGTGATTTGCAGCAGGGCGGCCAGGCTCGTGTAACATAGGTGGCCTCAGAGGCCAACACTGCTACTATCTTCACCAAGGTACTGCCGCCTCTTGACCATCAGCGGTTCTGTACTCAGCTTGGTCTAACCTCTGCAACAGCTCCACTCCTTGTATCCTGATATATACTATACATGCTCGTACTTGTTGTGCTAAACCTGCGAGTCGTGCTACAATAGTCGAATTAGTAGTGCTTCCCCGAGTTGTCTTGTTACCTTAGCCAGAGGCCAGACTAATAGTGTTGCACTGGTTAGGGGGGTGTGTCAACAAACATACATTTCTACATACACATATCTAGCTAGGTTATATATGTTTAATACAGGCTAGCTAGCTCAGCCAATAGGGAGGACAACTGTTGTGTACATTTATCCCTCCTCTCCCCTTCCTAGTCAACTTTTTTGCTCTATTCTAAGAGCGTGTCCCTACCAGCCTCTTCCCAAGCAACCTCTTCCAAACTCGCGTGCTACAGTGTCGCAAATTTTGACGCGAAGTGTTTCAGTGCAATTTGGCGAAGTTCGAAGTGAGATTAGGCTTCCCAAGATTCAGGGGCGTGTATTAAAACCTCTTTTCAGATGAGCAGATTTTCAGACAAGCGCGAATCTGCACAGTAGAATTTCGATGCCAGCTGGTTTTATGTGGTTGAGAGCTATGAAACACAAATATGAAACGGGAGTATTCCAAAAAGTGATCCTGGGAACACGCTCTCAAGGTCCCGCGTGAGTCTGGGAAGAGGTTGCCTGGGAAGAGGCTCGTAGGAACACGCTCTAACATACTCGTGGTACATCAAGAATATTCACAAAATAATTACCATGGAACAACATTCAGAATAAATTTGGATTAGGGCAAATTCCTAGACCATGCGTCAGTCATGCAGTTCTCCACCACAAAAAGTGGATGTCGATGCGGTTCGGCTCTGTTCGTCGCAAGAGTAATGCGTGTACACGAAACCTAGGAATCCACCCTTCGTGCATTTGAATCAGTCACCAGAAGCACACTGCTCATCAAAATCTTCAGCAACCACATTCTCTGCGTCGCTGGTTTTCCCCAGCTGCTGCTCGAGCTGGTCCAGGGCGTCTGAGAACTTGAGGTGTGAGTGTGCCGCAGATGCGCGCGGAGTGCCGTGCTGTGCCCCCAGCAACGCCACTCGCCGCATCTCCCACGAGCACTCACTCGTGGCTCGCGCCAACGGGGGAGGTCGCCCAAGCAGCCCTCCCCCATCCAGCCCACCACCACCAGCAGCACCACCACCAGCACTGCTGCTGCTGCTGCTCCTGCTGCTGCCTGCGTTGCTGGCCCTGCCAGCCCCCCACCCCACGCCTGCCTCTGCCCCTCCCCCCCAGCTGCCCCCCACAGGCCCGTCCTCTGCGGCAGGCTGTGTGCAGGGGGCCATGTGCAGCCGCAGCCTCAGCGCTGCCAGCCCATGCAGGCTCTTCTCCCCCTCCTCAAACCGCACATGCCGCCTCGCCTTGCCCGCTGCCGCACCTGCTGCTGCCACCGCCCCCTTCAACGCCCCCACGCTGCTCTCTGCACTTCCCCCACTCGCACCCCTTGCTCCCCCCCCCATCACCGGCATGGCTGCCAGCACATCCCGCGACCCGCCATCTTCCACCCCCTCCTTCTCCTCCTCCTCCTCCACCTCCTCCTCCTTCTCCCCTTCCCCTTCAACCACATCCCCCTCCTCCTTTGCGCCGACAATCTCTCCTTCCACTGTTGCCGCTGCTGCTTTCCCCTCTACTGTTGGGCCTTGGGAGCTGCATTGCTGCTCACCATGCGGACAACGAGTCAAGTGAGAAAGCACAAAGAGGTTGCTAGATTGCTGGATGTTGAAGTGTGAAAATATGATATGAGTATGCTAAAATATGCCGGTTACTATACACGTACGTTTCTAGCTCGTATAAAGCTTCGAATCAAACAGCTTAACACGAGCCTTGCTGGGCTTGACGTAGACATGGTTAAATTACATCTCAAAAATATTGCGATGTATCGCGCTATGCGATTTAATCTCGCAACGCATTTAAAAGCATGGTTCAAACGTGCTTTTCAGACCTGAGATAAGGGCATGCGATATTAAAATATCGCATGGATATCACGTAAGTATTGCCCTAATATCGCACACAATATTTGATATCGCATGCGACATTGAAGTATCGCATATCGCATTTATACCACTGTGGGATAACAGCAATATATACATGGGACAAAAAACATCGCGCGATATAAATCGTATCGCATCACGCGATATTTTTTCAGGAAAAAACAATATCGCTATCACATTTTTACGATATATTCGATGTGATATGATGCGACGCGATGCGATATAACCATGTCTAGCTTGACGGTTTGAAGTTCGGCCTGCCGGATCTAGATTTTGGGTTACGGACCAAAACTTTTCCAAAAACCACAAGGCATCGTTTTAAGGAGTCTGACACAAAGCTTGACATGAGTCAGGAACGTACCCCTAGTACAATCCCATGGGTCTGGTAGAATCACATGGCATGTATCAGTAGGTTGCCATGGGTTTAGCAACCATGGATGCTGTGCAATAATACCGAAGGTGTGGGTTTGGTACCATGTGTCTCGAGCATGTCCATGACATCACGATATGTCACGCATATGAAGCCTGGTCTTAACCACTCTGACCGTGCTTCACGCCGCACCCCTATTTTCCCTATGCGTTGCTTGAGCACCAACCTGAGTGTCCAAGATTCGTGACCGCTCAAATTTATGTTCAAATTTCCTCAAATTAGCCCTCGCTTTATGTCCCAAGCTTCAGTTATCAATGCGTGCGCCTCCTCCACCATTTGTGAGCTCACTACTTTCCCCGGCCCTCACCTGCCATCCTTGTGCATCCCTGGCGCTGCCCTCCTCCCCGTACGCGTGCTCGCCCTCCTCTTGCTGCTGCTGTGCGTCGCTGGTTTTCCCCAGCTGCTTCTCGAGCTGGTCCAGGGCGTCTGAGAACTTGAGGTGTGAGTGTGCCGCAGATGCGCGTGGAGTGCCGTGCTGTGCCCCCAGCAACGCCACTCGCCGCATCTCCCACGAGCACTCACTTGTGGCTCGCGCCAACGGGGGAGGTCGCCCAAGCAGCCCTCCCCCATCCAGCCCACCACCACCAGCACCACCACCACCAGCACTGCTGCTGCTGCTGCTGCTGCTGCCTGCGTTGCTGGCCCTGCCAGCCCCCCACCCCACGCCTACCTCTGCCCCTCCCCCCCAGCTGCCCCCCACCGGCCCGTCCTCTGCTGCAGGCTGTGTGCAGGGGGGCATGTGCGGCCGCAGCCTCAGCGCTGCCAGCCCATGCAGGCCCTTCTCCCCCTCCTCAAACCGCACATGCCGCCTCGCCTTGCCCGCTGCTGCACCTGCTGCTGCCACCGCCCCCTTCAACGCCCCCACGCTGCTCTCTGCACTTCCCCCACTCGCACCCCTTGCTTCCCCCCCCATCACCGGCATGGCTGCCAGCACATCCCGCGACCCGCCATCTTCCACCCCCTCCTCCTCCTCCTCCTCCTCCTCCACCTCCTCCTCCTTCTCCCCTTCCCCTTCAACCACCTCCCCCTCCTCCTTTGCGCCGACAATCTCTCCTTCCACTGCTGCCGCTGCCGCCTTCCCCTCTACTGTTGGGCCTTGGGAGCTGCATTGCTGCTCACCATGCGGACAACGAGGGGAGTGAGAAAGCACAAGGAGGTTGCTAGATTGCTGGATGTTGAAGTGTGAAAATATGATATGAGTATGCTAAAATATGCCGGTTACTATACGCGTACGTTTCTAGCTCGTATTAAGCTTCGAATCAAACAGCTTAACACGAGCCTCGCTGGGCTTGACGTAGACATGGTTAAAATGCGATGCGATATAATATCGCATCGCATTTCTCCATATCGCATTTTATATGGCGCGATATAATATCGCATCACTGCGATATTGTTTTCTAGAAAAATGATATCGCACATCGTTTTTGAGGTACGATTTTAAATTACATCTCAAAAATATTGCGATGTATCGCGCTATGCGATTTAATCTCGCATCTCATTTAAAAGCATGGTTCAAACGTGGTTTTCAGGCCTGAGATAAGGGCATGCGATATTAAAATATCGCATGGATATCACGTAAGTATTGCCCTAATATCGCACACGATATTTGATATCGCATGCGATATTGAAGTATCGCATATCGCATTTATACCATTGTGGGATAACAGCGATATAAGAGCGATAAAAAACATCGCGCGATATAAATCGCATCGCATCACGCGATATTTTTTCAGGAAAAAACAATATCGCTATCACATTTTTGCGATATATGCGATGTGATATGATGCGATGCGATGCGATATAACCATGTCTAGCTTGACGGTTTGAAGTTCGGCCTGCCGGGTCTAGATTTTGGGTTACGGACCAAAACCTTTCCAAAAACCACAAGGCATCGTTTTAAGGTGTCTGACACAAAGCTTGACATGAGTCAGGAACGTACCCCTAGTACAATCCCATGGGTATGGTAGAATGACATGGCATGTATCAGAAGGGCGCCATGGGTTTAGCAACCATTTATGCTGTGCAATAGTACCGAAAGTGTGAGGTTGTACCATGTGTCTCGAGCATGTCCACGACATCACGATATGTCACGCATATGAAGCCTGGTCTTAACCACTCTGACCGTGCTTCACGCCACACCCCTATTTTCCCTATGCGTTGCTTGAGCACCAACCTGAGTATCCAAGATTCGTGACCGCTCAAATTTATGTTCAAATTTCCTCAAATTAGCCCTCGCTTTATGTCCCAAGCTTCAGTTATCAATGCGTGCGCCTCCTCCACCATTTGTGAGCTCACTACTTTCCCCGGCCCTCACCTGCCATCCTTGTGCATCCCTGGCGCTGCCCTCCTCCCCGTACGCGTGCTCGCCCTCCTCTTGCTGCTGCTGTGCGTCGCTGGTTTTCCCCAGCTGCTTCTCGAGCTGGTCCAGGGCGTCTGAGAACTTGAGGTGTGAGTGTGCCGCAGATGCGCGTGGAGTGCCGTGCTGTGCCCCCAGCAACGCCACTCGCCGCATCTCCCACGAGCACTCACTTGTGGCTCGCGCCAACGGGGGAGGTCGCCCAAGCAGCCCTCCCCCATCCAGCCCACCACCACCAGCACCACCACCACCAGCACTGCTGCTGCTGCTGCTGCTGCTGCCTGCGTTGCTGGCCCTGCCAGCCCCCCACCCCACGCCTACCTCTGCCCCTCCCCCCCAGCTGCCCCCCACCGGCCCGTCCTCTGCTGCAGGCTGTGTGCAGGGGGGCATGTGCGGCCGCAGCCTCAGCGCTGCCAGCCCATGCAGGCCCTTCTCCCCCTCCTCAAACCGCACATGCCGCCTCGCCTTGCCCGCTGCTGCACCTGCTGCTGCCACCGCCCCCTTCAACGCCCCCACGCTGCTCTCTGCACTTCCCCCACTCGCACCCCTTGCTTCCCCCCCCATCACCGGCATGGCTGCCAGCACATCCCGCGACCCGCCATCTTCCACCCCCTCCTCCTCCTCCTCCTCCTCCTCCTCCTCCACCTCCTCCTCCTTCTCCCCTTCCCCTTCAACCACCTCCCCCTCCTCCTTTGCGCCGACAATCTCTCCTTCCACTGCTGCCGCTGCCGCCTTCCCCTCTACTGTTGGGCCTTGGGAGCTGCATTGCTGCTCACCATGCGGACAACGAGGGGAGTGAGAAAGCACAAGGAGGTTGCTAGATTGCTGGATGTTGAAGTGTGAAAATATGATATGAGTATGCTAAAATATGCCGGTTACTATACGCGTACGTTTCTAGCTCGTATTAAGCTTCGAATCAAACAGCTTAACACGAGCCTCGCTGGGCTTGACGTAGACATGGTTAAAATGCGATGCGATATAATATCGCATCGCATTTCTCCATATCGCATTTTATATGGCGCGATATAATATCGCATCACTGCGATATTGTTTTCTAGAAAAATGATATCGCACATCGTTTTTGAGGTACGATTTTAAATTACATCTCAAAAATATTGCGATGTATCGCGCTATGCGATTTAATCTCGCATCTCATTTAAAAGCATGGTTCAAACGTGGTTTTCAGGCCTGAGATAAGGGCAGGCGATATTAAAATATCGCATGGATATCACGTAAGTATTGCCCTAATATCGCACACGATATTTGATATCGCATGCGATATTGAAGTATCGCATATCGCATTTATACCATTGTGGGATAACAGCGATATAAGAGCGATAAAAAACATCGCGCGATATAAATCGCATCGCATCACGCGATATTTTTTCAGGAAAAAACAATATCGCTATCACATTTTTGCGATATATGCGATGTGATATGATGCGATGCGATGCGATATAACCATGTCTAGCTTGACGGTTTGAAGTTCGGCCTGCCGGGTCTAGATTTTGGGTTACGGACCAAAACCTTTCCAAAAACCACAAGGCATCGTTTTAAGGTGTCTGACACAAAGCTTGACATGAGTCAGGAACGTACCCCTAGTACAATCCCATGGGTATGGTAGAATGACATGGCATGTATCAGAAGGGCGCCATGGGTTTAGCAACCATTTATGCTGTGCAATAGTACCGAAAGTGTGAGGTTGTACCATGTGTCTCGAGCATGTCCACGACATCACGATATGTCACGCATATGAAGCCTGGTCTTAACCACTCTGACCGTGCTTCACGCCACACCCCTATTTTCCCTATGCGTTGCTTGAGCACCAACCTGAGTATCCAAGATTCGTGACCGCTCAAATTTATGTTCAAATTTCCTCAAATTAGCCCTCGCTTTATGTCCCAAGCTTCAGTTATCAATGCGTGCGCCTCCTCCACCATTTGTGAGCTCACTACTTTCCCCGGCCCTCACCTGCCATCCTTGTGCATCCCTGGCGCTGCCCTCCTCCCCGTACGCGTGCTCGCCCTCCTCTTGCTGCTGCTGTGCGTCGCTGGTTTTCCCCAGCTGCTTCTCGAGCTGGTCCAGGGCGTCTGAGAACTTGAGGTGTGAGTGTGCCGCAGATGCGCGTGGAGTGCCGTGCTGTGCCCCCAGCAACGCCACTCGCCGCATCTCCCACGAGCACTCACTTGTGGCTCGCGCCAACGGGGGAGGTCGCCCAAGCAGCCCTCCCCCATCCAGCCCACCACCACCAGCACCACCACCACCAGCACTGCTGCTGCTGCTGCTGCTGCTGCCTGCGTTGCTGGCCCTGCCAGCCCCCCACCCCACGCCTACCTCTGCCCCTCCCCCCCGGCTGCCCCCCACCGGCCCGTCCTCTGCTGCAGGCTGTGTGCAGGGGGGCATGTGCGGCCGCAGCCTCAGCGCTGCCAGCCCATGCAGGCCCTTCTCCCCCTCCTCAAACCGCACATGCCGCCTCGCCTTGCCCGCTGCTGCACCTGCTGCTGCCACCGCCCCCTTCAACGCCCCCACGCTGCTCTCTGCACTTCCCCCACTCGCACCCCTTGCTTCCCCCCCCATCACCGGCATGGCTGCCAGCACATCCCGCGACCCGCCATCTTCCACCCCCTCCTCCTCCTCCTCCTCCTCCTCCTCCTCCACCTCCTCCTCCTTCTCCCCTTCCCCTTCAACCACCTCCCCCTCCTCCTTTGCGCCGACAATCTCTCCTTCCACTGCTGCCGCTGCCGCCTTCCCCTCTACTGTTGGGCCTTGGGAGCTGCATTGCTGCTCACCATGCGGACAACGAGGGGAGTGAGAAAGCACAAGGAGGTTGCTAGATTGCTGGATGTTGAAGTGTGAAAATATGATATGAGTATGCTAAAATATGCCGGTTACTATACGCGTACGTTTCTAGCTCGTATTAAGCTTCGAATCAAACAGCTTAACACGAGCCTCGCTGGGCTTGACGTAGACATGGTTAAAATGCGATGCGATATAATATCGCATCGCATTTCTCCATATCGCATTTTATATGGCGCGATATAATATCGCATCACTGCGATATTGTTTTCTAGAAAAATGATATCGCACATCGTTTTTGAGGTACGATTTTAAATTACATCTCAAAAATATTGCGATGTATCGCGCTATGCGATTTAATCTCGCATCTCATTTAAAAGCATGGTTCAAACGTGGTTTTCAGGCCTGAGATAAGGGCATGCGATATTAAAATATCGCATGGATATCACGTAAGTATTGCCCTAATATCGCACACGATATTTGATATCGCATGCGATATTGAAGTATCGCATATCGCATTTATACCATTGTGGGATAACAGCGATATAAGAGCGATAAAAAACATCGCGCGATATAAATCGCATCGCACACAATATTTGATATCGCATGCGACATTGAAGTATCGCATATCGCATTTATACCACTGTGGGATAACAGCAATATATACATGGGATAAAAAACTTCGCACGATATAAATCGTATCGGATCATGCGATATTTTTTCAGAAAAAAACAATATCGCTATCACATTTTTACGATATATGCGATGTGATATGATGCGACGCGATGCGATATGACCATGTCTAGCTTGACGGTTTGAAGTTCGGCCTGCCGGATCTAGATTTTGGGTTAAGCACAAAACCTTTCCAAAAACCACAAGGCATCGTTTTAAGGTGTCTGAGACAAAGCTTGACATGAGTCAGGAACGTACCCCTAGTACAATCAGGGTGGAAAAATACGGTTTTCGTATTATACGGTCGTTTTTTTCGGTTCGTTTTATACGGTTGTATTTTGAAAAATACGGCCGTTTTTTTATTAGACGGGTTTTGGACGAAAAAAAAAAACTCAAAAATTGCGGACGTGCGGTACAACTTGCCTAAGGTGGACGACACGACGCTAAGGTGGTCAACTACCATGACTAGAGGTACGTTTAATCTACCTCCTACTCCTCCTCCTCCTCCTCCTCGGCGTACCACTCCCCCGGCCCCTACTCCTCCTCGTGGCGCGACCTCCTCCTCACACTACTACTCCTCGTCCTCCTCATCCGCCCCACTGTCACCATCGCTGCAATCCCAGGGGTTGCTCCCCTTGGCCCTCTTGCGAGGCTCCTTTGATCCACTGCCCTCGCCCTCCTCCTCGTCCTCGCCCTCCTCCTCGACCTCCTCATCCTCCTCCTCTTCCTCATCCTCCTCCTCCTCCTCCTCCTCCTCCTCCTCCTCCTCATCGTAGGCCACTTTCTCCTTCCCCTTACGGGACCCCCTACCCTTCTTGGCCCGCTTCTTGCCCCGAGCCTTGGATGCCGCCTTCTTCTTCCGCCCGCCGATGTTGCCAAAGGCATCCCAGTCGATGGTACACACCTCCCCGCCCTCCTCCTCTACCTCCTTGTTGGCCTCGCCTTCCACACGGGGGGGTGGGGTGATGTTGGCACCCTCCTTCAGAGTGCCATTGGTGAGGTCGTCGTACAGCTGAGCTCGAGCCTCGACCTTCTGGTCAAAGGCTGTTCGCGCCCGCCTGCCGAACGCGACGAACGTCACGTCCGTCATGGTGGAGGCGTTCAGCCTGTTGCGGTCGCGCGTTTGGACACGAGCCAGAGCCGACCAGTAGCGCTCAACCTCGCAGGATGTGACTGGCTGTGACAAGATCATCACAGCCAGCTCCTGCAAGGCGGCCACCTTGCCGCCGTACATCCACCACCACTCGGCGTCGGAGAGCCGCCCGCTCTCCACCAGAGCCGTCGCTGCCCAACGGGCCTCCACGGATCCCAGGCGGCCCTCCCCCTTGTGGAAGGTTGCCAGCTGAGCCGCGAGCATGGTGCGCCGAGGTACATCCCCTCCCCTCGCCAAAAACACCTCCTCTGCCCCCTGCCTCACCTCAGGGTCGTTCCGCACCTCCCCCACGTACTGGTTGCGGGGATTCAGGAGCCACCCCGCAGCGTGGAGCGGGTTGTGCAGTTGACCATCCCAGCGGTTGGCGATGATCTTCTTCACCGTGACGAGGAAACTCGCCTTGTCCTTCGCCTCGAGCAACACCGTCCGCTTGACAAAGAAGGCGGCTGCACGGGGAGCAGACGTGCCGAGGGAGGGTGAGATTAGGTACAGCTAAGAACGCCCATGGGAATGACACATGAGTGCCGCTCGCACGCCGCGGGGGGAAATGGGCAAGCAAGAGGTTGGCTTACCTGCTGCCTCTGCCGCGTCGGTGGTCTTGACAGTGGCCTCCAGCATGAGGCCATAGATCTGGCCCATGAGGAGACATCGCTTGTCGACCCGCCTCAGGACCTCGTAGATGGGTGTCATGAGCTTGAGCACCACGGCGACGCTTTCCCACAAAACGTCCTCGAGGAGGAGGCTGCGAATTGCTTTCCCCTCCTCCGTGCGGGAAACTAGCACCTCCTCCCATGCATCGCTGATCACCATCTCCCGCAGGGCCTTCTTCACTTCGAGGAAGCGCCCGATCATCAGCACTTGCGTCCCGAAACGCGTAGCTCCCGGGCGCATAAGCTCCAAGGAGCTGAAGACCTCGCGGAACAAAGTGACCGCGGAGGCTGACTTCTTCACCATCATCACCACCCTGTGCACCTGCCCGAGGATGCGCTGCACGGCGCGGATTGCTCCTATGTCGTGCAGCATTAAGTCGAGGCAATGGGAGGCGCAGTTGGTGTAGAAGATTTGCGGGTACCCCTCCTTCAACAACGCCCCCGCCTTCTTGTTGTTGGAGGCGTTATCCATGACCACCTGGATGACGAGCCGGTCCCCCACGTTGCAGATCGACCGTCGAATAAGCTCCGCGAGGTAGCTCCCCGTCTTTTTCGCGGTTTTGGAGTCGACGACGTCGACGACTACGGGTGCCGTATCGTTCTGAGCGATTACGCCCACGAATCCGCGACTCTTAAGGCAGGACCAGCCGTCGACGGTAAGAGAAACGCCACTGGTCCTCCACGTGTCCTTCAGCGGCTGCAGCAACTCCTCCGTGTCGGTCTTGAGTTTCGCGAGCAGCGGCCCGCTGACCTTGTACGCGGATGGAAGCTTGTACGGCTTCCCAAACTGGACTGCCGCGTTGACGAAGGCCTGCAAGGCCGGCGACTGCGATGTCCGAAACGCGAGGTCGTTTTCAGCGACCACTGTCGCCCAAAGATAATCCAACCGCTGGCGGCCAGCCACATCAGTTAGCTCGCGAATGTCTTGCTGACGCGAGCGCGGGGCAGAGTGCACCGTCGAGGACGAAGCTCGTCCTTGCGTGCCGTCAGGGGACGTGGAACGTTCTTCTTGGTTGCTCTCACGCAGCTGCTTCGCGTAGTCCGATGGGCAAGTGGAGACATTCTTCTCCATCGAGCTAGGGGTGCCATAGATATGCTGCCCTATCCTGGTCGCGTTTGGAGTGACACTAGAGCCACAATGAATGCAAACTGTGCTAATAACAAGGCCGGTCGGCTCCTTCACCTTCTTAACATGCTCCCAAATGTCGGATAGCTTCCTAGGCATGGCGTACACAGTAACGCCACTAGCTGAGAAAATCGTGCGGTGGATTCGATCGTGCGAGGTGAGCTGCGTACAAGACTGTGCTCACCTTTCTGGAAGTGCTCCAAGTTTGTACCTGGTGGCCAACCTGCATTCTTGAGCGACGTAGAAAGACCTTGTTGGTAGGGATCGCAAATGACCAAGTGTGATTGGTCACGATTCGAATTTGCGACACGCGAATTTTTGGGCAGGTCGCTTGGCCCGCGAAAATTGAGTCTACAGGGCGGGAAGCAACCCAACGACACAGGCGAAACGGGTGTACAGCCCGTTCTCTCTTCGTCAAATGTTGGCATCAGGCGGCTCGACAAAATGTTGGAATCGCGCCTCGGCGAAAAACCATCACTTCAACCTGACAAACATTCAAGATCCAACCAACCCACATTGCGATTTCGTTACAAGCCCTAAGCATGCAAATATTGGTTAGTTCGAAAAATACGGTCGTATTTTTCGACCGTATTTTTGCACCAACCAAAAAACACAGCTTTTGACCGTTTTAAACCGTTTTATACGACCGTATCATACGATTCCGTATAATACGGCAAAAAAAATAAAAAACGACCGTATTTTTGCACCTTGAGTACAATCCCATGGGTCTGGTAGAATCACATGGCATGTATCAGTAGGTTGCCATGGGTTTAGCAACCATGGATGCTGTGCAATAATACCGAAAATGTGAGTTTGGTACCATGTGTCTCGAGCATGTCCATGACATCACGATATGTCACGCATATGAAGCCTGGTCTTAACCACTCTGACCGTGCTTCACGCTGCACCCCTATTTTCCCTATGCGTTGCTTGAGCACCAACCTGAGTATCCAAGATTCGTGACCGCTCAAATTCATGTTCAAATTTCCTCAAATTAGCCCTCGCTTTACGTCCCAAGCTTCAGTTATCAATGCGCGCGCCTCCTCTACCATTTGTGAGCTCACCACTTTCCCCGGCCCTCACCTGCCATCCTTGTGCATCCCTGGCGCTGCCCTCCTCCCCGTACGCGTGCTCGCCCTCCTCTTGCTGCTGCTGTGCGTCGCTGGTTTTCCCCAGCTGCTTCTCGAGCTGGTCCAGGGCGTCTGAGAACTTGAGGTGTGAGTGTGCCGCAGATGCGCGTGGAGTGCCGTGCTGTGCCCCCAGCAACGCCACTCGCCGCATCTCCCACGAGCACTCACTTGTGGCTCGCGCCAACGGGGGAGGTCGCCCAAGCAGCCCTCCCCCATCCAGCCCACCACCACCAGCACCACCACCACCAGCACTGCTGCTGCTGCTGCTCCTGCTGCTGCCTGCGTTGCTGGCCCTGACAGCCCCCCACCCCACGCCTGCCTCTGCCCCTCCCCCCCGGCTGCCCCCCACCGGCCCGTCCTCTGCTGCAGGCTGTGTGCAGGGGGGCATGTGCGGCCGCAGCCTCAGCGCTGCCAGCCCATGCAGGCCCTTCTCCCCCTCCTCAAACCGCACATGCCGCCTCGCCTTGCCCGCTGCCGCACCTGCTGCTGCCACCGCCCCCTTCAACGCCCCCACGCTGCTGTCTGCCCCAGCCTTGGCCAGGTCCAGCGGGGAGCTATCTGCTCCACCATTCTTTCCCTCACCCGTCGTGATCACCCCAGCTTCTCGTTCAGTCTCCTGCACTCCCGTGCCTGCAATCGCCTCCTCTCGCGCCTCCTCTCGCGCCTCCTCTCTCGCCTCCTCTCCCTTGCCTCCCTCCCACGCCTCACTCTGGTGCTTCCCAGCCTCGCCTTCTGCATCCATACCGCGCCTGCCGCTGTTTCCCGTTCGACGCCGAGGATCCTCCTTGGTGCTGTCCGCGACGGCAGTTGTTTCTGGCACTCCTCCTCTGCACGCCTGCGGCCACGGCTCGTCTCTTTCTCTTTCACTTTCTTATTTTCTTTCTCTTTCACTTTCTCTTTGTCTTTATCTTTCGCACGGCCGTCCGTGGGAACAGCCGCCACCTCAGCAAACGTGGGGGCTATGGAGGGAGGAGGCCTTGAGCGGTCTTGCGCATTGGGAACGGCACTGCTGTCGATTGTGCTTAAGTCAGCGGCGGGCGCCGAGTCGCTGCGCGTTCTCTACAGCGGTCCCATCATACAGGAGGCTTGAGAGTCGGGGCGGATTTCAGTACTAAGCGTTCTACGCACGAATGCCGAATCGGAAACGCTCTGTTCGTTTAGCAAGTGTGAAGTATTTTCTGAAGGAACTCCGAGCCTCTTTCTGCGACCCGCTATGTCGTCACCGTGAAGCATGCACTAGGCTAGTCCTGGCGCGCACAAGCCAGGCTGATCTCGTCACGACTCGGTCATGCTTGCAATGCTGGTTGCCACTGCTGCTCCCTCTCGAGAAAGAGAGCACAAATAAAGAGTGGTTGGTGGGTTACTGTACAGTAGTAACAGCAATAAATTTAGCGGGCGTTCCTCCTCTCACCCCCAGCCACTGAGACAGTGCTGCACATCACTGTTTCTGGATACTTGCCGAACCTGCTCCTGGCTCGGTCGCCCCAAACCTAACTAGAATACAGTTTTTGGGTTGCGTAGCAACCTTATAAATTTGGTTTCATGTTTTTTGGGTTTCGTAGCAACCTTCTAAATCTGGTTCATGTTTTCGTACGCCAGGGTTACTACACTTTTAAATTGTTTTTAATCGTTACTGTAGACTATACTAGATTGTGCCTTAGAGGGTACAACACCCTAGTCTATATACCCTTGTACTCACACATTCTAGTTTACTTATTCATTCTGATATGGTATCATAGTAGGTTAGGTCCCCCCCTAGCCCGCCCACGCTTCCGCCCCTAGGCCCTAGTCGGCGTCTAGCCCCTCTCCTAGCTGGCCCCCTGGCCGTCGCGCCCGTCCCTAGCCGGTCCCCTGGCCGTCGCGCCCGTCCCTAACTGCCCCCCTGGCCGTTCGCGCCCGTCCCTAGCCGCCCCCCTGGCCGTTTGCGACCGTCCCTAGCCGGCCCCCTGGCCGTCGCGCCCGTCCCTAGCCGGCCCCCTGGCCGTTCGCGACCGTCCCTTGCCGGCCCCCTGGCCGTCGCGCCTGTCCCTAGCCGGCCCCCTGGCCGTCGCGCCCGTCCCTAGCCGGCCCCCTGGCTATCGCGCCCGTCCCTAGCCGCCCCCCTGGCCGTCGAGGCCGCCCCTAGCTGCCGTCGCGGCCACTTCCAGCCGGCTCACGGCCGCCCCTCGCCATCGCGGCCGCCCCTAGCCGCCGTCTCCAGCCACCCCACGGTCGCTACTGCTGTCGTGGCCGCCCCTAGCTGCCATCGCGGCCGCCCCTAGCTGCCGTCGCGGCCGTTTCCAGACGGCTCACGGCCGCCCCTTGCCGCCACGGCCGCCCCTAGCCGTCGTCTCCAGCCGCCCCACGGTCGCTCCCGCCGTCGCGGCCGCCCCTAGCCACCGTCGCGGCTGTCCCTGGCCGCTGTCGCGGCCGGCTCTACTCGCCGTCGCGCCAGCTCGTAGCCCCCCCCCCCCCCCCCCCCCCGCTGCCGCCGTTTGCTGGCCCCCTCGTCCGTCGCCCGTCGGCCCGCCCCAGCATTCGCGTCGTCGCCACACCGCCGCCGCCTCAGGGTCGGCCCGTTCTTCCCGATCAGCACCGCCCTGCGAACCCCCGGTACCGTACTACACCGCCTTGCACCACACTGCACCTCACTGTACCACACTATACCGCACTGTACCGCACTGCACCGAACTGCACCGTACTGTATTGTACTGCACCACACTGTACCGCACTGCACCGCACTGCATCGCACTACACCGGGCCTCACTGCACTGCACCGCAACGTACCGTACTGCGCCGCACTGCACCGCACTATACTGCTCTCCACTGCCCTCTATTGTCACTGACGGCGGAGGTGCTTCGCTTTGACGCTGAGGGCCAGCCGATTGAGTTTGATGCGTGGCTTGCTGACCTCCGTCGCCACCTCACTGGTCAGCGGCAGGATGGCCACTCTCTGTCTGTCCATCTTGATGGTACTCTACCCTACCCTGACCCCCCCGCTGCACTGTCTCCTAATCCCTCGCCTACTGAGCGTGAGTCCACTGCGGCCGCTGCCCTTGCTCGCTTTGTCTGGCTGTCCCGTGACGCTGTCGCACAGCTGGCTATTAGCAATGCCCTCCCCCTGTCCGAGCGACCTCGCTTCAGGTCTATCACCACTGCCCAGGCTTTCCTAGAAGCTGTTGTCCAGCGCTATTCCACCCCGCCTGCTGCCTCGGTCGGTCGTTTGATCTTCCCCATGCTCTTCCCTGACCTTGCGTCGTTCCCCACTGTCACCGACCTGGCCGCTCACCTGCGCACTATAGACTAGACCTGGCGTGCTGCCTGCACTCCCACACAGCTTCAAGCCCACCAGCCGCCCCTCAGCTCTACTCTCTACCTGCTAGCCACCCGTCTTCCAGACCGTCTTGCCATTGCCCGTGACCACTTACTTAGCGTCCACCCCGCAAACCTCACCCTCACTGACTTTGTTGTCACCCTTCCGCTATAGAGGCCCGCCACCACTCTATCGCTCAGACTAGTGGTACTGTGCCGGTCCCTATCTTTCAGGGTTGCGCCCCCGCTCACTGCACCTTCTCCGACGGTTCTGCTGCTGTGGCTAAGACTGCCGCTGCAGCACAAGTCCGTCCGGGGAAGGGTCACCGCCCCAAGGCTGGGCGTGGCGGCGGGGGTGGGGGTGCAGGTGTAGGTGGTGCTAGAGCTGGGTCTCCTGGTGGTGGTGCAGACAAGGGGACCCTGCCAGGTGCAGCCGAGCAGCCGTCTCAGCAGCCGCCAGCGTGGCAGTCGGACTCGCGTCAGCCACAGCAGCCGCAGCAATTGCAGCAGCCGCAGTAGAGATGGGCGAGTGGTCTCCCGCTCGGGTGGCTTGGCGCTGGTGCTAGCGCTGGACGTGGTGGCGGTGCGCGTGGTGGGCTGCAGTGACCACCTGGAGGACCGCCAATACGAGCTTGCTTTCCTGTACGAGGCTGCTCCCCATCTCTGTTCTATGCTTCTAGTCCCTGAGGGTGACCCCAACGCTTTTGACATCCCAGGCTCCACGTGAGTGGCACGACACGCTGCGTGCTACGCTTGCTCACCTGCAGTTCTTTCCGTCTTCTGCAGACCCCTCACTCTTCCTTCGTGCTGGTGAGACCCCATTCTACATCCTTGTTTACGTTGACGACCAGGTCTTCGCCACATCAGACAGGGACGCACTGGCCTCCGTGAAGGCTGAGCTGCTGAATTGCGCCACTACCTTGGCTTGCAGATGTCCAGAGACAGAGCAGCGCGCACCATCACTTTAACTCAGTCACACTTGGTGTGCCGGGTCCTTCAGTCGGCCTTCAGTTCTCCTCCGCACAGCCCACTCCTCTGCCTCTAGACCACAGGCTCTCGGCTCCAGTTCCTGAGGAGTCACTAGAGCCCAGTAGTCCTTACGCAGAGTTGGTGGGTTGCCTCATGTACCTAATGACTTGCACTCGCCCAGATCTCGCATACCCTCTCAGCATCCTGGCTCGCATTGTGGCTCCAGGCAGACACCGACCTCAGCACTAGTCTGCAGCTAAGAGGGTTTTGCGTTATCTTGCAAGTACATCGGGCATGGGGTTAGTGCTAGGAGGACGCAGGCCGGTGGTCCTTACTGGACACACAGACGCTTCTTGGGCAGACGACGCCGAAACCCTCAGGTCCTCGCAGGGCTACTGCTTCAGCCTTGGTTCAGGTGCCGTCTCGTGGAGAGCTACCCGCTCCTCGTCTGTTGCCCAGTCCAGCTGTGAGGCCGAGATCTACGCCGGTGCCATGGCGGCACAGGAGCTCCCCTGGCTGACCTTCTTGCTCACTGACTTAGGGGAGCAGCCTAGCTCTGCCCCGGTCCTGTACGCTGACAACAGGGCCATGATTCTCCTGTGTCAGGAGCCTCGACTGGAGGGCATAGCGAAGCACATCCAGCTGCGGTACTTCCTTCTGCGTGAGCTTCAGCATCGCCGCGAGGCGCGCGTAGTACACTTGGCGTCCAGTGCCAAGACTGGTGATATCTTTATGAACGCACTTGCGCTTAAAGTTCATCAGCGGCACTGTGTACAGCTAGGTCTTGTTCTTGTAGCCTCTCATTTGGTAGGGCCTTGACTTTGTACTCTCCTGTATATATATATATATATATTCTACCCTGACTGGCCTTGTGGCCTCTCCAAGTGGTTGGACTAGTAGTGTCGCCCTGGTCTTGCTCTTGCCTTGTCTATACTCTTTATGACTGGTCTTAAGACCCTTTTCTCAGAGGCTGGACTAGTAGTGCCGCCCTGAGCTGCTTCTTCCCTTATTTGGCACTGCCCATATATAGTCTAGGGGGTGTGTCAAACATGACTTATGCAGTTACTGTAGACTATTCATGTTTGTGTTTTAGTGGGTACAACTTAACAAAGAAGCTTAGGACACTAACTAAACTTAGGAACCTAGCTTAGCTAGGAACCAAGGAAGGACTCTCAGAAACTTGAATGAATGATTAGAGAGAGAGAGAGAGTACAGGAATATATCTAAGTCTTGTACCCTCTAAGAGATGACCCTATACAGTCAATGCAAAGTATAAGAGATACACATGTTTGACACACCCCCTAGACTGCATAGGGGCAGGTCCTGAACAAGCAGCTCAGGGCGGCACTACTAGTCCAGCCACTGAGACAAGGGTCTAAAGACCAGTCAGAAGGAGTACCAGCAAGGCAAGAACAAGGCCAGGGCGGCACTACTAGTCCAACCACTGGTAGAGGACACAAGTCCAGTCTGAGTACATATAGATATATATAGGGCAGTACAAAGTCAAGGTCCTAGCAAATGAGAGGCTACAGGAACTAGACCGAGCTGTACACAGTGCCGCTGATGATCTTTAGGCGCAAGCGCCTTCGTAAAGATATCAGCTATGTTGGCACCGGAGGCCAGGTGTACTACGCGAGCCTGGCGGCGCTGCTGTAGCTCGCGCAGGAGGAAGTACCGCAGCTGAATATGCTTCGCTCTGCCCTCGAGTCGAGGCTCCTGACACAGGAGAATCATGGCCCTGTTGTCAGCGTACAGGACTGGGGCGGAGCTAGGCCGCTCACCTAAGTCAGTGAGTAAGAATGTCAGCCAGCGGAGCTCCTGTGCCGCCATGGCACCAGCGTAGATCTCGGCCTCACAGCTGGACTGGGCAACAGACGAGGAGCGGGTAGCTCTCCACGAGACGGCACCTGAACCAAGGCTGAAGCAGTAGCCCTGGGAAGACCTGAGTGTCTCAGCGTCGTCCGCCCACGAAGCGTCTGTGTGTCCAGTAAGGACCACCGGCCTGCGTCCTCCTAGCACTAACCCCATGCCCGATGTACTTGCAAGATAACGCAAAACCCT